TCTCTCTCTCTCTCTCTCTCTCTCTCTCTCTCTCTCTCTCTCTCTCTCCTCTCTCTCTCTCTCTGTGTCTGTGTGTGTAGGTCAGAAGACAATTTGTTAGAGTCAGTTCTCTCCCTCCACCACATCGACCTGAGAGATCAAACTCAGGTCATCAGGCTGAATGGCAAGCACCTTTACCCACTGAGCCATCTCACCAGCCCCTTGAAGTATCTTCTTTAGATCACATAGCTTGTAGCTGGTAACCTAGGATAAGGGCACAAGATTTCCATCTTCCTGTCTTCTTCATCCATTCTACCACAAGACATCCCACCCTAATCCAGAGGGGAGCTCGGGTTAGGTGCCGAGCTAGCTGAAGAAGCAGCATGAGTTATCAAAGGACAACTCCCAATGTTAGCTTTATTTGTTCTGAAAACCATCTCTATTCTGCATCTCTCAACGTGGTCCTGGCACAGTGACAAGGACAGCCTTTCTTTCTGGCCTTGTTTTGTTAGAAAGGGTACAACAAACACTTCCCATCATATCTCCATCTCCAGGTCCCAATTAGAAAACCTGGCCAGGACTGGCCCTTCATAATATTGCACACATGAGGGTGTTGCTGAGCCCGGTTGGTTTGTGACCTTTTCCTCCATCTTCCCTGAGACAGTTGCTCCTATCCTGGGGGCCTTTGCTCTCCCTCCAGTCAAGGACATCTGGTACAGTCATGGGCTGTTCACAGCCTGGGTTCCAGTTTGGTCTGGTCCGGTCCAGGGAAGCATCATTCCTGGTCCACAGCTGGATGCACCCAGGGTCCTCATGAGCTTACAATGTCCCAGTGCTGGCTCATGAGCGATGACTCACAAGGGTTGACAACGACTTCCTTGCCATCCTCAGCGCTGTCACCAAACATGTCTGTGTCCAGGCAGAGGTGAGATGCTATGTGCTCAATTCGGGCACCAGTCTTGGTCCATTGCTGAGGGGATAGAGGGAAGAGAGAAGGGCTCATTTTGCTGGCTAAGGCCATGGGTTCTAAGAATAATATAAAGCACTCAGGCATCACCAGAATGGGTGACACCACCTATGGACAGCCAGAGACAGTCAGAGACATGATTTCATGGTCTCATGAAGGAAGTAAAATGCCACTAATTGTTCTGACCTGCATTAGGGTTTTTTTTTCATTACATTTTAAATTCATATTTATTTACTTATTTGTCTTTGTGTATTTGTAAGCATGCATGCTTTGCGTGTGTGTATGTGTGTGTGTAGGCCAGGACACAACTTGTCAGAATTGGCTTATTCTTTCCACTGCAATTATTTCCCGGGATTAAACCCAGGTGGATAGGCCTGGTTGCAAGTACCTTTACCCACTGAACCATCTCTCCAGTCCAAGTCTTTTAAAAAACAGATATTAAAACAATTTAAAAGCGAAATCAATGTTTCACAGGGAAACTCATGAGGAGGTAATAGCTTTTCAAGCAACAGGATAGAAAATGTGAACTGAGTTAGACATAGGAGAAGACAAAAAACAATATCCTCCATGGTCTTCACCTTCCCTTAAGAAGAAGTTAGAGAAGAAAAAGATGGGGTATTGAAGATGACAGCAGGGGACTTCTTCAAAATGTGTCTCTGCTGAGAGCCCACAGAAAGGTGGGTCTTGGGCAGTGCTCCTTGACTCTCTCATGTGTGGTAAGGTTAGAGGAATTAGCACATAGGCCGCCTAGATACTGAGCTCTGTACTTCATAAAGACTGTCACAAATAGTTGTTCTGCACAGTTCTTTTGGGATATAGAAGCCCTCCTCTGGAGAGTGGGAAGGAGAAATCTCTGGAAGATACAGTGACCCACCATATGCCACACTCATACTTGGGACTTGAACCTCAGTCTCTCCTATGTGGGGAGGAAACTGAGCACATCCCTAGTTCCTGCTGTTAGAGGAACAGTGTGCATGGCGACACTACTGACAGGTAGCAGTGATGGCTCAAACAAAGTGAGTAGGCCTGATAAGATTACCTAATTCTGCAGGCTTTCGGGTATTCACTGATCATTGGGACCAACATAGCCATTATTACCAACACTGTTGAGGGATTCCTATCCCTGACTCTGACTGGAAGGATTTCTTGCTTATTAATTCTTCATCTTTCAATATCTCCTGTTTTCTCTTGTCTAGAGAAGACGTACACCCACCCGTTACATGATGGAGGTTGGCTACTTTCAATCCTACTCCTACCCCTGGCCTGCCCAGCACTCACCTGCCTTTCATCCCCATTCTTGCACAGAACAAGAACCACTGGGGCACCGGGAAACAGGGTGACCACAGACAGGCACAGATCTTCCTGGATGATCTGCTGGGTGTATGTGAAGGCCCACACCTGAGGAGAGCAGGAAGATTTACTTAGGAGTGGGGAAACCCACCATCTATGTGGTACCACCATCCCTATGTATGATGACCCATACAGATGGAGAAGAAGTTCCATGGGTTCCTGAAAGTAATGGTCATTAACAAGATCATCTACTAGAATGCTACTCAAAGGACAAAAGCTAAGAGTGGATACTGTCATGAAGTCTCAGTTCCCATACCCATGTTGGGTCCTAGTCCATGGGCATGCGGGAGGTTGCTGGAAGTTGCAGAATAATTCTGACTCTGGGCAGCAGCAGAGCTATATGGTTTCCAGAGTCTGCTTGTAGACAATGTCTCTCCTTAGGAGTTGTTCCTGACATTTAACACTTCAAACAGCTACCTGACAGGCTACCCTCTGCCCCAGCTGTCTTTAGAATGCTCCCTTTTCTTTGAAGTCAGTGCGTTGAGAGCATGAAAGCTATGGTAAGAGGTAGACAGAAGGGTAGAGAGAAAGGAAACACCCAAGTTGTAAAGAGTTGTAAAGAGTTGGAAGATGAGTTAGGAGGTAAAGAAGAAAGGTACAAAAAAATAACGTTACTTAAGAGACTATGCACACCCTCAATTCCTGCAGGGGAAGAAACAGAGAAACTAGATCAACAATCTGAGTTCTGATCAATCGAAGAAAATGGGCATTCTGTGAGGTCATCAGAAGACATCTACATGCCAGATTGTCAGGTTAACAAGCCCGAGCACTCTCTAGTTCTTAAGCTGGGAGACAGCAAGTGAGGATGTAATTGCTGCCAAGATGACAAAGAGATTTTCTCTCAGTTTGTGGAAGAGGTGATAACTGCCCTTTTCCTTCATCATGCAGTGAAGATGATTCATGACTAGAGTCTCCAAGGGAGGTTTCAGAGAGGAATCCACCAAGGACTGTAGCTTTGCTCCATCACATCCCTGTGCACAAAGTGACCTTCCATATTTGGACCAGACCATTCATGAGCTCCTTCTTGGCCTATGCTGATGGAGAGCAAACAACTTTCTAAGTTCTAAGGGCCAGTGTCCCTGAAGTGTTTCCCCTGTATTCGTACTCTCAGTTCAACTCCCATAACATATTAGGGATGATGCTATTCTCTCTGGTTTGTCTTCTTCAGGACCTGACATCCTCCTGGCGTGCTATTACATGTTACAGGAGTTAAGACAACAGTATACAGGACCTTGTCTCATGTATGTCACTCCAGACCCTGGGACATACTTAGTGTTGGCTTCTAGGCTGTCTGCTTCCTTTTCTTCCCACCTCTAGCCTGTATTTTGAGTACAGGCATTCCCTAAATGGTCCCCTTTGGCTCTAGATGTGTGTAATAGTGACCCAATCTATTTGAGAGGCCAAATCCAGGCATGAATGAAGTCCACGAGGGTCTTGAGACTGGTCTGTGGCATTGGGCAGGTCATCTAGAATGGTAATCTGTATTTGGGACTAAGGATATTTCTTGTGGGAAAGAGAACAATGTAAGGGCTAGGCCCAAGGACAGAGCTTCAGGGAGCTATTTGTAGGCCCATAGGACCACTGGCCTGAAATCTATTAGATTTTTATACTCCCCTGAAAATAAGGCTTAAGTCAGCGATGGGAGCAAAATGAGTTACTGCTCTGAAGCCCACAGGGAGACACAAATTAACATTTCAAAAATAAATCCCGTCATTATCATATGATAACCTCAATACGTGGTGTTATATTATTTGTGCTAAAAGCATTAAGGGATTAAACACAGCAACTTACAACACATCACAGTTTCTAAAAACACATCTTGTCAGTCTTCTGATTTTAGCACCCTAAGGTGCTTCTAGGCAAGTAACAGGAACAGGGTCTCTTGATACACGAGATTCTACATTCAGGAATGCCTCTAGAGAAGGGCACACTCATCTACACCTGGGCCAGGGTCTGAGAAAGCCACTCTAAGGGGCTGGAAGGACATATGAACAGGCAGCCACCACAAAAGCCCTTCTACTTGCTTCTCTCTCTCTCTCTCTCTCTCTCTCTCTCTCTCTCTCTCTCTCTCT